CGTATGGAACTCGCCTGCACACTTGAGCTGGACAGACAAACTTGCACACAGCTAAAAACCATTAAGCACACCTGTCTGGCCAAACGCAAGTCTTCACAGGACTATGTGGCAATGCATTCCAAACAAGGGTGTTGAACTCATCTTTCATATTGCGTGTATCGATAGAGAAACTATATATTATATATATGCAAACCATCCCCCGCTTCGACGCGATACCTCCTTACAGAAAAAAAGGCCTTCTGCTTGGCAAACAAGTTTAAGCAATGGAATTGTTGAGGTGAGGTCAAGTCTCTGGCTGAACATAGCGCTTCACTGTCTCCGAGCTAAAACACACAAATTGGCACTGCGCTCTCCAGCTCGCAGCTTCACAAATGCCAAATGCTTGACGCTGACGCACGTGTAGCTTGTGTTGGTGCGAAACACAAATAAATCGCGGCCAAGGGAGGGGTCACCCCCCAATTCAATTGGGTTTGCTACCACATTCGACCACATCAAGTGCGTTCAATCTGGGCCGGCACGTGCCTTTCAAGCCAAGGATCGAAAAATCTCCCAGAAGATGTCATCGCGTTCACATGAAGGAACCATCTAGACGCTTAGGCGACCTGCGCCCCAGACTCCCCTCCCCCTTTCGCCTTTTCTCCTGGCCGAGTGCTGATGGCTCAACGGCTCTCGTGGAGAAGTGTTGTTGGATTGCCACAACCACCGGCCTCATATGCTTCCTCGGGTAAGATGCCTGGAAACAAACACACACACATGGTTTGCCCCATGGTGAATTAAGCAGAGTGCATGCTAAAAACATGTACGAGCAGCTAGCTGTTTGAGTAGACGGTGGACCTTTGCAAGGGAACTCGTACGCGAGCTGGCTGCAGCGCTGCGCTGGTTGGAGATGGTGGAAGCGGTGGGAGAACAAGCAAACACTCGGAGAGAAGCAGCCGACCTATCATCCCCGTCTGTCGGATCGTGCCCCAAAAAGGTTATAAGTCATGCTTTCCCCAGTCAAGTTGGTTTCTCAAAAGAACCATCGGGTCCCAAACCAGCGCAAACCACTGACCTAAAAAGTGTCAGGCAGCCCTAGCGTGGAGATGCTAAGCCTGCTCTTCGATGAGAACCTACAGGAAAGGAAGACATTGTCCAAGTGGTAATAATTAGATGTTTATATACATGTGTAAACAATACTATGCCAGTTGACAACTGTTGACAACAGCGCATTGATCGGAACGGTCGTCGCAGAATATGGCCTTCCTGTATACATGGTCAGTGGTCAAAGCTTTAGAATTCTAGTCTTGTGCGCCACTGCTCGCTGCAATGGTCTTTTTGATCCTCTAAATGAAGGCTTGTGAAGCGCATTCCCTGCCTGACTCGTCAGGGAACCTGCGCCGTAAACGTGGCAGTGGCGTTTTCCCACTAACCACCGTCCTCATGGACCGAATGCGTCCCGCCCACAAGGCTAAGGACCTCTCAGCTCAAGCCTAATCAGTATCCACAGGGGAAGTTTGTCAGGGCGGTGGATGTCAAGCCAACCGTGGAGCGAAGGATGCCGGTGACACTTAGATTGCAAGAATCAGGGGAATCAGGGAAATTCAGGAGTTGAGGCCACGGAGGACCTCTTTCTGCACACCAGGAACGTTTCCTTGCAGGAGGTGAGGAAGAACATGGATGAGTGGAGGCCGTATCTTGAGGCGGAACTGGATAGCTTTGAGGGGACAAAAGCCGGAGCTTGTTGGGACTAGGTTTGATATGTTCACAAAGCCCCACCAAGTAACTGGCAATGCCATCATCCAGCAGGTCCTCCGGGTGGTCCCGCCACCATCCCTGATGCTTTGATGGGATCACCCGGGCCAAGAGAGCATCTGGCACCTCTGGCCAAAGCTTTTGAAGCTGGACTAGCGAGCGGCGCAACACTGCCCACCTCCCGGTCTGAGCCTTCTCCTTCTGTCCATTTCCCCCTCCTCATCCTAACGACGGAGATCCTCTTCAGGACTTGACCAGGTATTAGTCGGGTGGATTGGGGGAAAAAACTCCTGCTTCAGCAGCCGGTCCTAGATCCTTGCTGCGTGCCAGGGAACTTTGTATCTTGGTCCCGGGCCCGACCGCCCTGGAGCGGTGGTGGTGAGGTCCTCAAACCAGGCCACTTTCAGGCTGCGTGTAGCGAGAGCAGGACTTCAGATGGGTTGCTCCCACAGTGTGATCCTGGCGGAGGCGGAGTCAGCCTTTCACGGAGTTGGTCATGCGGCGCAGCCAACAAGGAGTCTGGGAAGGTGAAGGCCATGAGGCCAAGGGCAAGGACAAGCTTCGGGAGACTGAAAAGGGCAAGGGCGATGGAAAAGGCAAAGGGAAGTCCCAGACCCAATGCCGCTACTTCCTTTGAGAAATGGGTTACAAGAAGGCCTTTCATGCACGAGTGGAGATCAGGGCAAGCATGGACGGTGCTGGTCGTGTGGAAGCACTCAGCACATGAAGCCGGAATGCCCAAGACCTCCAAGTCCCAAAAATGAAGAAGGAGATTGAAAAAGCTCCGGATCAGATTGCAGCACAGCCGGAATGAGGAGCCTCGCGCACCACAACGACAACAGCGCAGCCGGGCAACGACCTACTCGCGGAAGCAGCTCAACTGCTGAAGTCTTTGAGGCCTGTTGCCAAAGCCATCAAGCTGATCTCGCTGGGAAAGAAGGGGCGGGCGCTTCTCGACGGGGGTGCGACCCACATCTTGAGGCGAAGTCGGAGAAGGAGGACGAGCAGGCGCATCCGATCCAGGTGGAACTTGCAGCGGGGGAGACAACCTTGAGGCAGGATCAGGTCACCGGCTGAGACCTTCGACGCCTCCCTCATGACAAGGTCCCACCATCTTGCGGAACTGACCAATCCCCCACCACCATTGAACCAAGCTCGTGCTCCTTCACGTCCGGCAGTGCGGGCAAGTCTACGGTGCGAACGCTTTCTTGTCCAATCAAGAGACTGCCCATCCACTGCGTCAACTGAGCTTGTTCTCCTCCATGGCCGCGAACTTCATTCACTGGTAGGCGTCGCAAAGCCTTGATCGGCCATAGGGCCAACCCCAGCCTCCCAACCCGATGGACCTGTCCGCGAAGTTGGGTTCCACAATCTGGCCAAAGCTCATACTGCGGGGCTTCCCCAAAAATCAGCCCTTGAAGGAGTTCCTAACCTTGTCTTTGATCTTTGTCTGCCGTAGGGCTTCTCCTGAACTTGCCCTTGAAGGCGTCCCTGATCGTGCCTAGCATACCAGCTCCATGCCATAGGGTACCTCCAGGAACTTGTTGCACCTGAAGCGTCCAGAATCGTGCCACGACCTCCCCATGATCCCGAAATCCTGCAATCTCCTTTTTCTGAGGCTTCTTCATGGTGACCTTCATGTCACGCAGCTCCTTCTGAAGGAAGCTGTTCTGCTTCACCAAGCCCTGTGGTCTTTGGCCTTGCCGCTCCAGAATGGGTTCAACCGCCGCGTCCCTGCTGGGCTGCTCCGCGACATACGGCACCATGGCCAGCTCCGCCAGCTCCGTTGCGGCGTGCCTCGGCCATCCAGCCGTTCGGGCAGAACCTGCAGAAGAGGTTGCCATGGCTGTCCTAGAGAGCCAGGCACAGCGTTGGCTAACCCTTGCGCGCCACTGCTCGCTGCAATGGTCCTTTTGATCCTCTAAATGAAGGCTATGCGACGCGCATCGGATAGCAATTCTCTCTTCTTAAGGCAGTTCGTAGGGACTTCACTCACTAAATCAACAATCACCAGCCGATTCATCATGATCACCCCGATCAATTGCCTTGACTACACATCCACCCTGCACAGTCCACCCCCAAGCTTTTCTTTTGAGAAAAATCCGTCCTTCTCACGTCCTTCTCGTCGCTGGCACCCTGTCACAGCAGGCATGGGATCATACGGCATCACAGCGTCCCCCCCCCAGGCAAATTTATGGCTGCACCTTTCAATACGCGTCCGTGACATGCCAGTTAGCCCATGCGTAGTTGCGATATCACAGAATAAAACACAACTTTAGGCCAGAAGGGCACCAGAACCTGCGAAGGACGTGCAGGGCCAAGGGGTTTCCGTCATTTGGGTCGGATCTTCGCCCGGTGGTTGCTTGAGGAATTACCATCCCCCCGAATCCCGGGGAGTGGAGGCCAGTAGCAGCAAGTCGAACAGACTTCCCCATCCAGGCCTGCGCCGCACTCAGCAGGGCAAGCAGCCTTGGAAAGACATACTGTGGATGGACGAAATCCTGCACCAGTTTAAAACCATCAGAAACCTTGTTTGTTGATATTTATCACGGAATCATCATTCCAGGCTTTCTTAGGTGTATGATACCTGCCCCCGCATACACCCCCGTGGCTCCCCCTCCACGAATGAGGATTTGATGAATCTTTCAAGTCTCCTGGCACAAGGATTGGGTCTTACATGTCAATTATCCTCGGCTGACGGCTGCCCGGAAAAGCCTCGTGTTCAATTGGGAGAAACATCCCGTGGCTTGCACTTTGTCTTGGACCTGCGCATGTCCAACTTAGCAGACGGGGGCCCCGCAGTGGCACCCTCATACTCGAGGCTGGCATGGCTCTGCAAAGCGTAGCCTGGTGTTGGCTTGAGTGTCAACTCTTGGAACATCTGGAAAGCGGCCGTTAGCTCCAGCGCACACCTCACATTCTTGCCGACCACATTCTGTAAACCAAGTGAAGTAAAGCAACTGAGTTTGCAAGTCAGGCTGCCCTGATCTGAAGCAAATGGCATCAAAACTCTGTTGAGCCGAAAGTCGCTCAAGGCCAACTCACAGAAGCAATTTGGCATGTAACTACTGAACCTGATGCCAGTAGAGGAACTGCTCTGATCATCACAGAGATGCGCAAACCTCATTCAGTTGATGGCGCTCTCTCACACTTGCCAGCTGTTTATCCAATTTTGCGCGTCGTTCTTCATGCTGATGCTCAAATTCGAGTGCGCAAGGCACATAGAAAGTGTGGGACTGGTGTTTGCTCAAGAACGTAGCAAATCTGTAGCAAAGCCAGACAACAACACTTTTTGAGCATCAGCCTCGAATATTGGAGAAATCAATGGCAGCCTGCCAAATCCATACGCACGGTCTGCCTTCTTGTGCGATGCTTGCCAACTTTGGGTCGAGCAAGCTCCCGCAAAACTTCGGGCCTTTGCTTGCACGTGACCAGCAAGGCGCACTCACTTAATTCCTGCCTTCAAACTGTTCAGGAATTGATACGCTTTGGGTGACAACTGGCATCCAGCTTGCAACCTCGAGAACCACTTGTGAGACTTGCAAATCTCCACCACGCCCTCTGGTACGTACTGCTCCTGATGGAGGAGGCAACAAGGAAATGATGGATGCCTCGTATCGCACAAACTGATTCAATTCATTACATCCATCCTGAAATGTCAGTTGTCCATTGGTTTCCCTGTAAACCCACTGCTGCCCCACATGAGTTTCAAGCAGCAGACCAGCCCCAGGTGCGCCCCTGAAAGTCCCTTAGCCACCTTCACGACTTCTTTTGTGTCAGCTGACCCCCGCAACTCCAGCGAGGATCACTTTGATGAAATGGCATTGGAAAATCGGACCTCGCCATGTCCGCAGAGATGTTCACCAGAGCCACAGGGACAAACGGTCTTCCTTCCGAAGACTTTTTTGTATGTACCTGTCTACCCCGGGAAACCATTTTGGAATGGCTTGAACCTGAAATTGAAGGGGAAGAATCCGACACCGCAAGACTTGCGATGCAACCAAATCTATCCCCTCGCTTTTTGTGGCCGCGGATTCACCCCGCGGAGCAGATGATTACCGTGGCCCCGGCATGAACCAACACAAACAACACAAACACAACTCTATGTCTGTTTTGATGCTGGCAAGTACCTCGTGCATACATATTGTTTGCGTGTGCCAGCAAACAAAAGAGATCAAACTGCCGCCACTGCAAGCAGACCGACCACACGAAAGGCCCTCAATGAAAGGCGCCTGAATCTGGCAAAAGTTGCTTAGGCTGCCACAAAGCGCCGGCAAACACATAACATTGTGCCAAGATGAAGATCGAATGTTCATGCAATGGGAACCATGCCTGGCAAAGTGGTACAGCAATCTGCTGATCAGGACTATGGGGGGGGCATGCATTTCAACAAGCTAAAACCATTGTTGATAGGTGTGCTGATTCATCAGGCACGGCCAATCTGTGGGAGGGGGGTGCCACTGCATTGTTCAATGGATTCAAGATTGAGCGGACCTAGCCTCTGATTGCTCTGTGTTATACAAGCCTCTACTTTGAATTCAGGTTGAGTGGATCCAATACGGTTCCCTGGCTTCGACACACCCACATTGAGCAATGGACATCACTTCGTGTGTCGGAAAACTGGGTGGTCCCCTGCATTCTGTAGGTAGTTGAAATGTTCTCATGTCCTCCCAAGAGCAACGGAACACTACGAACACTACCATGACTCAAAGCAATGCCCGGCAATACTACCTTCAAACACCCAAAGGCGATTCCCCGGCGACATTGTCAGTGATCAACATGTTATCACGCTCTTGTTCTGCCACGGGTCCCAGTCGGTGGAGCCATTCTCAATGAGCTTCATGACTTCATCCTGAGCGCTGGGTGCCACAAACAGGGCCTGCTGCAGCCAATCCATTGCTGTTGGGTGGAAATTGATAGCTGTTGAAAGCGGAAATACGATGAATGGTTGGTTGGTTGGTTGGTTGGCTGATTGGTTGGTTGGGTGGTTGGTTGGGTCGGTGGGTGGGTGGGTGGGTGGGTGGGTGGGTGGGTGGGTGGGTGGGTGGGTGGGTGGGTGGGTGGGTGGGTGGGTGGGTGGATCCATCCAGATGAGGAGGAAGAGCAAGAGATAGAAAGACAGGCATGTGACCAGAGGATGGATTTCTTGTTTGCAGTCATCTTCATGTTCTGTGTTTTACCCCTCTATCACCCATCACCTGCTCTCTAAGTGACGTCTATAATATTGTGTTCATTTTTTGGTAATCAGCATTGTTATTATGGTTGCATTTCTATTCTTAATATTTTATATAATTTTGTCAAACTATGAGACGATGCAACGGGAAACTACCCCATACAGCAAATAGAATAGACAGACTTCGTCCTTGTCCTCCCAACTCTCGCATTCCTTAATAGAACTAGAACACGGAGTAGAGAGTCGGAAGGAAGATGTAGATTATAGAGGCATGAAGAGGTGATGCCCTGTGACCTAAGGAAAACTCCCGACTAAAAACTAAGATGTAACTAGAATTGCTTTCGTGTTGGATCTCATCTGACACTACATTATCATTCTCTTGTTCTCGGCCATGCAATTCTAGTAGAAATGACTCTAGAGATGGGTTGGTTGCGTTGGGTTGGGTCGGGTCGGGTCGGTTTTGGTTGGGTTGGTTGGTTGATGAAACCGATTTGACAAGTCTGGGTGCGAGCCTTTCGAGTCAGATTCGGCTCGCTCGTTCAGGTCGCAAATGCAAAGTATTTGCCAGGAATGGCAAACATTGGCCACATGGGATTCTGTTTGAGGATAGCCTCTCGGGTTGGTTTTGAAGGGAAACCAGAAGGAAAGCCACCATTTTGAGGGGCCCAAAAAAAGACACACCCATATCTTTTGGACCCCTCGCGGGAACCTTCTCGTGTGATATTGACGATATTGATATACGGAAGCGGGCTGGGACCACATACAATCCAGCAACCAGTCCATCATCTGCTTGGCTTTGGAGAAACAGAGACACGAACACAAACAGAAGCCAACTGCAAAAGAAAAAAAGAGAACAACAAAAAAAGCAGAAACAGAGACAACAAAAAACACCGAAACAGAGACAACGGACACCAAGTGACATACACAGAAGCGGGCACTTTCAAAGGCACGGAGCTGCATGCAACGGTCATAGAGGGATACGACGAGAGCGAGGCAAGGGAGACAAACGCAGAGAGACGTGGAGGACAGAGAGAGAGAGAGAGAGAGAGCGAGAGAGAGACACACGGGACACAGAAAGACAAAGAGACACTGACAAAAAGGCAAAGAAACATAGAGAGGCACAGAAAAATAGAGAGGCACAGACAAAGACACCCAGACAGAAAGACACTGCTAGAAACATAACAAACACAGGGCCATAGCAAGACATGGAGAGACACTCATAGATACATGAAGAACACACAAAGACACACACACAAAGACACAAAGAGACACTGATAGAGACTCAACAAACAGAGAGAGAGAGAGAGAGAGAGAGAGAAAGAGAGAGCGAGAGAGAGAGAGAGAGACTGGGCAAACAGAGACACAGAAAGGCAGACAAAACTAGTAAATCGCGCACGAAGACGGCACACAAACGGGTTAAACACACACACACACACACACACACACACACACCCACACACCCACACCCACATCCACACCCACACCCACACACACACACACCCACACACGCACGCACGCACGCACGCACGCACGCACGCACGCACGCACGCACGCACGCACGCGCGCACGCACGCACCCACACACACACACACACATCAAACCTGGTGCAAAGCGTCGCTGCCGTATCTGAATCGCTGGTTCTTGACAGGATCGCGGGCATCCGCACTGGCGAAGGCGTTGCCCAAAGGCAGGATGCTTCCTGCAAATGGGTGTGGAGTCAAACAAATCCTGGGGGGCAACGGGCGGGTTGGGTACCAGGGGTTTGAAACACAGCCAAGTCCATTTGGCGAGAGGGAGCCTCAAAGTCATCAGCGCTCAACACGCTCCGGAAACTGCAGTCAAAGAAAAGTCATCAATGTATGATCCCGCATCGTCGAAACCATTTATCCATGTTGGCAATTGTATCAAGCCAATCACACACGGCCCAGGGCATACCCGCGACTGCATGGGGTTTGAAGGGATTTTGAACAGGTCGGCCCTGTTACAGCCACACCTGCAGCAAGCGGACCTTTCCCAACACACAACCACAACTCCGGAAGCGGGAGCCTCTCATTTTTGGGTTGCCCTCTTTGTTATTTGTAACACTCAAAATACCAATCGACGCCATTTAGCCGGTCCATGGAACACCCCAATTAGAAAAACAGCTGCCTTGTACGTCCTGCTTACCATTATTTCGTTCACTCCAGACTATGCTCGTCAGGTGATCGCATGGGCATCGCAAGGCCAGATTGCCATGGCAGCTCGATTCAGATGCGACTGCTTAACTCTCAGACGTTCAAACAACAACGTCCTACCGATTCCAAGTACTCGTAGAGCTTCTGCTCGTTGCCCTCGGGCAAGCTTGCCGGCAGTATGTTGCCTTCCTCATCAATGCTGGGGTACGTAAAGATCCGTGTATTGCCTCGGTCAGAGCTCAAAGTGCCAAGTGCTGCAACGAACCAACATAAGAAGCTTCTTTGGTGAAATGTTGGGGTTTCGTTCCTTGGCAGGGCACTTTTGAGAAGGCACTGGAGGGATTCCTGGCGCAAGGACACGAGACTCGATGAAAATGGACTCATGGCAGCACCGGGCAGAAACATAGGAGAACGTATGTGCAACAACTATTTCTGAAGGCTTGGGTACGGCAATTACACACCAAGACGATGATATATTCACCCCTCTATATATATATATAGCCTGTGCAAAAAAGCACATCGGCGAAGAACATTGCAGCCCCTGCTTGGGCCGATCTCATATTTGTTGCTTCTCCGCCCAAAGGACCCTTTCCGTGCCTAGGTTGTGCTTGCTGCTAGCAAAAGCAGCTGGCATATTACGAGATTGTTGGCTCATAGCTGGATGATTTTCGTTTGGTATATAGATATGGGTTCAGTTATATATTACATGTTGCTTCGGTTAGCGGTCCGAGAGACGAAATCAAAGGGGCCCTTTGTTGAACTCTAGTTGAGAATCGGGTGGCCCCAGGTTTAGGGGGACTGGACAATTACTCGGGCGCCAGGTTCCCTAGAACAAGCTGCCGGACACATCAAAGCTTGCGATGCTCCGCATATGAGCGGAGCAAACAATCACATACATGACAAGTGTGTTCCTCAAAACGGCTTGTGTTCAGGATTGCCAACAGCATGGCGTCTGAGCAGTCAGACCAAAATCAGCAGCCCACTGTGGACAAATAGGATCGGAATTCACATTGCCACCAGGCAAGCTGCTATTACCATCGTATCGGGTACCTACTATGGCCGATATTGGAATCACTGCGTATATCCTCCCTTTGTCCAATGTCTTGGTGGTCTTCATGTTGGGTTGCTTTTTGACCCTCCTCGAAAGGGTTCCAGGAGACCCGTGTCTGACACACTGAATCTGAGCTGCGGCTTTGGAAGAGGTTCCCAAAGGCCCGCAACATTCCGCCCTGGCAAACACGTCACTGGCTGCAACTCTGCTTCAGCTTGTGACATTTGTCTCCAAGCCCTCCTCAAGCATTTGCCAAACATCAAGTCAGCTTTCGCTGTCTGTGCGTGTGTGTTTGTGGGTGCCATTCCGTGGCTCCCCGCAGCACAGTTGCATCATTGTTGCAACATTGGAATTCAAGAAACAATAACAACTCAATAAATACATAGTCATGCAAAAGGAACATACAAATATGAAACAACACTGCAAACGACGGACAGACGGACAGACGGACAGACGGACGGACAGACGGACAGACGGACAGACGGACAGACGGACAGACGGACAGACAGACAGACAAAACAGAAATAAAACAAGAAACACATAATCTGTAAATGCTATATGGGAAAAGCAGACATCAATGAGTGTGTACATGTATATATATACATATATATATATATATATATATAATGAAACAGCACGATCATTAACAACACAAACAAGGAACACAATAAAGACAACAACCAATACCAACATGAAGAACACAACCTGACAAAATCAAGAGAGCAAGACATACACAAATCAATATGAAACACAACAACAGAAACAATCACGATTCGAATCGCTTCTATACAATTGGACGCTTCAAACATGTCACCCTTTGACGCAGTTGGGTCACATCAATGCTTATGTTTTCTGGTCAATTCCAGTCCCCAAATTCCATCATATTATCACATTATACATCTCCGTTTCAGGTTGCTGTAATTTGCCCCACATAATCATGTCTTTGGGGCACGCATCACTTGACTTGCAGCGAGTCAGGCACGCGTGCCATAGACATCACGCACATCCCGAGATTTGAAGTGGGACCGAGTGTCAGTCAAAGCAAGCAAATGCCCACATCCTGAGTATTGCTGGCCGACTGGTTCAAATGCTGACCAAGCACAGGCAACCTGAATGACCGATCTTGGTTGCCATGCTTTGCTCAGCGAGCCCTGCACGCCTCCTGGTTGGTGTAGCTCTTCGGATCAAAGAGCGCCCGCTGCAGTGAAAAGCCTCCGCCGCCTACCGCGATGATGATCTGCTGGTTCGTGTATCCTTGGTATGGAGAGTACATGGATAGGTCTGGGGAATAGTTCCTATGGAACACGGACGCGGCCTCAAAGGAGGAATTTCAGACATGCATTGCCGAAATGCACAAAGCATGACCCCCCCCCCCCGCCCCAAACAGGTCAAGCTGGTACAGATTCTGCGTTCGTCTGGCAGCCAAGCATCTTGAAATCCATCGCACGAGTTGGTGCGTCCTTCAAATCTGATGATTCTTATACAAATACTCTTCCACCAATAAAATGCGCACAGCAAATTTGTTCAATCCCTTTCAACAAACATCACTTCTTTGCCATTGTTGGCCATGTTTTTGGGCGAGAGGAGTGCAGCCGTGCGTGCCTGCCGTCTACAGCCACGGCGCAGCCGCATGACAGGGTACGTCGCTGCGAATGGGGTACAAGCAGAATGGAGTTACAAGCAGTGGCAGCTGTCTGAGTTTAGTTGTAATACAAAAGGGTCAAAGCAACAAACCGCATCTTATACGGAACTCCAACGCCAAACACCCAGCCCTTCTCAAGCCAGCATATTATTTTTTCCGAACAACCAAGGCCCGGCGAATGGGGATCAAACTGGAAAATTCGCAGGCGCGGCTGTCCTCTTGATGTTGGAAAGCAGCACTGGGTATTTCAATACCTGCAGCATCTCGAAGCGATGCAGGAAATCGGTGGCCAGCACACCTTGGTTAGGTTTCTTTGGATCTCAAAGGTTCCACTCCGCTGGGCATCAAAGATGATAGAAAATGAATGCCTGCACTCAGAAGCAATCTGAGTGCGTTCCTTTTGGACCAGGTGCTTCCAGTGAAAATGTGATGCTTGCCTTCTTGGTATTCATGAGCGAATCACCGCAACCAAAACCTACTGTGGATGGACGAAATCCTGCACCACCTAAAGAAACCCTGGAATATCTGGAATGATGATTGCATGTAAATACAAACCATGGTTTCCGTTGGTTTCAAAGTGGTGCGAACGGATTTCGTCCATCCACCGTGCGTTGACGCATGAACCACTTGGGTTGTAAATGTCGGACTTGAGGAGAGTTGTGCGCGCCTTGTGAAAAAGCCTTCAGCATCCCCTTGGCGATTGACACTCGGACACGAAAATCCCATGAAGCAAAACACTGCCCGGACATCCTCAGCTTAACCATCAGTGATAGCAGAGGATTGCAAGGCAACACACTGGGTTGACCTGGGTTTGCAGATCGATTTTGACCCGGCTGTGGAAAACCTCTGACATCAGTCCCTCCTCACTTGATGCCTAGCGGAAGGATCCCCCGTACCTTTAGGGGGAGGGTGGGTGGGGGTCCAACCACTTCCATTTTGTCTGTCTTCCCCTGGAGATCTCTAGGGGTCACCCCGGTCACCCCCCTCCTTCCCAATGCTGCATTCCCTCGGCTTCCATGTGACAAAAACCACGCAGCTTTCCAAGGGAAAGAAACCACCCACTGGATATTGGGTCCGGGTGAATTGATGTCTAAAAAACTTATGGAATTGATCTCTGTTTGCTTGGTTTTTTTTGAACCCTGTTTGTTTTGTTCTTTCGGCGTATGCATTGGATGTTGCTCACTATGCCTCCCTGTACACCCGAATCAGGGAGCCAAGAAGCTGTCCTCGCCATTCGTGATGTTCATCAATGCCTTACACAGCAAAAGGTGGGAGGTCGGTACGTGACGGTACGTGTCCAAATGTCTCTGCATAGCAAACCTGCAGAAACGGGGAAGCGTCTTCACTAGCTGAGGGGCCCCATGATTTACGGTTGGCACACTCACGATCGTTGACAATATGTTAAGAACATTGTGCTTGCATCTCGAAGGGTTATCAAGTAAACAACAAATAAACAAGCAAGCAAGCAAACAAGCAAACACACTGACAAGCTAACAAACTAACAAATAAAACAACAAACAACAAAACACAACAACACAGCAGCAAACACGACAACAACTAAACAAAATAAGCAAGACACAAACACACACACACACACAGGTAAGCAAATACCTGAATCTCACAGAATATGAAGACAAGTCCACGTGTATTCAATTTAATCTCAGCGAGCCCTCTACCGTATTGCAGGTGTTAGTACTTTGCAGGGGTATTGTGCAAGCGTATCTTTTTCGTGAGTCCCCTCTTTGTCCGTGCATTAAAATTGCACGAGCTATATATATATACTGTAAAGCTGCTACGTTCATTTGAATCCGTTTCATGATAACTTTGGCCCTGTGTCGTATGCTAGAATGCATGTGCGTGAGCGCGCATGTCAGCTTCGATCGAACTATCACTAAGCTCGCTTGTCCAGACTACTACCCAAGCAACACTTAACGTATTGACACCGAATACTGCAAACTGGCGGACGAGAAAATCACTAGGAATGCCTTGCGAATTACCAACCAATACAGAACATACAGCAACTATGTACTTGTCTACTAGCGACATGGAACATTTAAAAAAATGCATATGAGTATACACCACTATGCGCCCATTTCTGGTGCATGATTTATTTCTGCCCAGCATGGAAACATGTCTTCATGTCAAACAGTGTGTGATAACTACAAGCTAATAGACTTGTTAGCTAGCTAGGGCATGTTCGGAAAACAAAAATGCCCCGTGAGCTTGCAGAAACCGATATGCCAGTTATATCATAATATGTATACCATATGGCATCTGCCAAAGACACACCGCTGATATGCCATTCTCCGTCCCTCCCTCATGTCGGCAACCTTCGCCAGGGAGCCAGAATCCGTTTCGGAATGTCTCCTCCAATGCGATTCACGATTGGAAGTAATACTTTCATCTGGTGTGGCGAATGCCAGAATCACACAACAAGCAATTTCAACACTTCCCCAACTCGACTTATAGAATTCTTAAGTGGGAGACTTTCATCAAGTGTGAGCTCATTTTACCGGATCACTCGCAAGTAGTGCAGGTTCCATTTGAACAATTTGGGAATGCGCCAACGCAAGGAAACCCCAACTTAGTCGCCCACAGGACCGCCAGAAAGAAAAGGTCAACCTTGTGTGGCGCAAGTGAGACAAAAATAGTAGCTGTCCTTTTGGTTTCCCTCGAGATCAAGGGAAGAAGGGTACCTCCACACACCACACACACACACACAAACAATTTCGCCCCACGCGGACAAGAAGACGTCGAGCGGCATCCACGGACACAGCCTTGGCCCCGCAGGCGAGCTCTTCGAAGATCCGCTTGGTCTCGTCCTAAAAAGCGGCAGAGACGTGGCAGCTCACGGAATGATTTGGATTGGTGGATTGGATGAGTTGGGTCCGGTTTAGGCGGCTTCCACTGAAGCCTGTTTCCCTAGGTTAAGCGCATGGCACACAACCAATTGGAAGGTACTGGTGCCATGCTTCAGCCTTCCTAGAACTGCGCTTGAATCGGACCAAACAAGTGGCGGCTGATCAGTATTCCTGTTTTTAGAAAACGCTATCTTCTCGAGAAATAACTGGAGCCGTTTCGGCTGCTAGCTCTGCTTCCAAACATCACGAAACCACAGCAGCTTGAACAACAAAGCAGCCACTATGTGCATTGACACAATCCTGCACCTAAGATTTCCTGGAATGATGACTCCCAAGTAAATACCAGCAAGCAATGGCTTCCCACGGCTTCAAAGTGGTGCGAACGGACTTCGCCCATCCACAGTATCATTCGCCCTTGCGACTTGCGCTTGCCAGCGTTGCTGCGTCCGCTCAACGCGTGGGTCCTCAATGGGCTGGGCTGGGTGGGGTGGGGATGAGCGCGTTCCTCGAGATGCGACCACTTTTGCGACGCAGTCAAATAAAGTGTGGTCGCGTCCGTAGGGATGCGAAGTGGGGTGGGATGCGATCACGTTTGGTAAGACGAAGTAGGGTGGGATGATTGCGTTTGTGGGGATGCGAGTGGGGTGGGATGGGATGGGGTGGGGTGGGGTGTGGTGCGCGGACAATCGCGCTCGTGGGGATGCGAGTGCGATTGGGATGCAGTGAGATGATGGTGAGATGGGGGTGGGGTGGGGTGGGGTGGGGTGGGGCGGGGTGGGGTGGGGTGGGGTGGGGTGGGTGGAGCGGGGTGGGTGGGTGCAAGGTGAACGCGAGCACGCGCCGGCGAGCGCGAGGCTGCGCGTTGCTGGAACGTGCCACGTTTTTCGCTCGGCGAGCGCACAAACGACCGCTTCGCTAAAAAGCGAGTGCACGCACGACCAAAATGCGAGTGCACAAACGACCCCCTGCCCGGGTAGCTCAGCCAACGTGATGCTTTGCACCATTCCCAGTCAGGGAATCAAGGACTCAAGTAAAGGTACTGCGCATCTCCCTGTCTGCAAGGAAGTGGGGTCTGCAAATATAGAAGTGCCCAGGCATCTTTCGCAAACAATGCGGATCTGTCCAATGAAAGAATCTCTTTCACGTAATCCACCGCCGATTCTTCGTGGCGGGATTTGAACCAACACCAATGGTCACCGAATACACAACTGCCTGCAAGGAGCCTTTGATCAATCCCCATGCATCAGCTAAGCCACTGGGAAGAGTCTGTCTGTCATGGTCATACTGCCTTACATTGATTGTGGTTGTGGTTCCTTTGATAGGAATCTTCAGAATGGCTTCCTAAATGCCTATTGGGCTGTTGATGCTGCCCATAAACCAACAGTTTCCGTACTCCACACCCCACAAGAGCGTGTCTGTACTGTTAAGGTTCCCTTTTTGAGGTTGGTTTAAAGCGAATGCAAACAAAACACCGCAGCTGGCTGCATGGGGATGTCAAATCGGCCTCTGAAAGCTCGCTGGCAGCCATTGCTTGGAACTCCGAGAAGCTGATCTCTCCATCGCCTCAGATCAGCGAGCGGACCACCGACTTGTGGCCCTCACAAGGAGTCGTCAGGAAAGGAGCGTTCGCTCTTTGGGCGTGTCTTAGAATATGGGGAACCTGGCAAAATGGAGTTGTCCGTTTGGTTGCCCTTTAAACCAACCCCAAAAAATAAAATAGCCCAGAAACTGCCTGATGATTTAAATAGCACATTTGTCCAGGGATGTGACACGTGTAGAAGCGCCATACCTACGCATGTAAGCAAAACTCATGAAGCGCACCCAGTGGATGTGTTCCTCTTCAGACATCCAATTGCCCTGCCAGAGCCTTCAGAATGGCCTGACGTGCACTGGTAGAGTCTCGAGTCTCAAACGGCTGTGAAACACCACATCGCTTGGCCATTGGCAAATGGTGCTCACACCACCTGTTGCAACGAGCATCACTGTTGAACAAATACAGCATCAATCTCTGCCAATGAGGTGCGGCTTTGCGCGGAACACATGTTGGGTCAACAGGGGGGAGGGGGGGAGTGCGATGCCCCTTGCAAGTGAGGCAACTTACCCCGTGAATGCAACATGTTGCAATTATATAGGCCGTGTATCATCTGCAGAAAGACAGGGGGAAATCGAGCTTTGCTTGGCACCAAAGCCCCGTACTAGCATCAGTGATTCGGCAAAAAAAAATGCCATTGTCGCCCGAGCTTGATTGCTAAGCATAGGACAACTCCAGCCGCTTTCGCGCTCACCGAACGCCGAGGGCATGCAACAGGCAACCCTCAAACCCTTTCGTGGTTACCCCGGGACTCGTATTCCGGATCACTTCCCGCGACCAGTTCTCTACCTGGAGTCTCCATGACCCCTCAAAAATAGGTCCATGACCCCAGTGTTTAAAGGGTCATGACCCCATTTTCAAAGGGTCAGATGTGGTCGTGGGTCAAAACCAATGGTACCATTTTGGTGTAGGTGCACCACACATTTTAGTCTATTTTAGTTGGGATTGGGATGTTCACTGGGGGTACGGGCTTTTGAAAGCCAGGTCCAGGGCGCTGTTCTCGTCGCCGGCAATGATGCCCTTCAGGGCGTCCAGGCGTTCCTTGGTCCCCTGCCACGACACCGGCTGCGTGAGGTCGTCGATCCTCAGCACGCTTCCACCCAGCTGGCCCTGGGCCCCAAACGGCGTTTGGGTGGAGCCGTGTTTGGGTGGTTTGGTGGTTCTAGGGGTTGATTCCAATTCCATTCTGTTCAACCATCGTTCTGTTCAAAAAACAGCTATTTGCCCTGGGTTTCCGGAGGTTTTCTCGAAAGAAGGATCCCTGGAAAGAATGGGGAAGGTAGCCCTAGAGTGGTCTGCTTTTTGGGAGGCTACCCCTGTTTTGGTTTGACTGGAAAACCCAACAGGAAAACCTGCAATTCTCTGGGTCCCCTTCCGCCACGACCGTTATGTTTATGTCATAAAGAAACTTGATAGCTGTCCACAGGTGACGCGCAAAAGTAAGCAGCCCAAGAAACCATGGCACGTGACTGTGGCCTTCAACTAGCCCGCATCAGCAAAGCTGAGAGTCAGAAAGTAACCAATTACTATCTCATCATCCACCCAAACACCTTTCAGACAAACGTACCAACACCCCCCCCCCCCACCCCCCAAAAAAACAAAAACAAAACAAGAACACCCCAAAAGCCGCTGCGGCCGTGGAGGAACACTTGAGACCTGGATTTTTCAAAACGGATCCCTTGGGACTCCGAGGCCCTCGCTGCAAGTTCATCACCTTCATCGGGGGCTTCCCTTCCGCCGCATCCGAGGCCAACTTGGCGGCCCCCGCCTCGCCAGGCGAAACGGGAGACCCATGCGTCGGAAGGGGAGAAAGCCAAGAAACTGAGCCCAGGTTCATTCAGCCTCACTCAGACTCAAGGCTTAAAGGATACTTTTGAACTTACTTCAGCTCCTCAGGGGATTCAAGCCGGCGAAGCTGCAAGAGATGCCTCCAGTACCTCCGTGTGCATGAAGGTGGCCGGCTTGAAGCGCGACCTCTCCACGATCACCTGAGTTCATAGGCGATTCGCCGGAAGCTGCCATTGGCCGATGTAAATGGGTCGCCAAGTCTTCCATGTCGGGTTCTGGGAGCTTCCATGGAGTCGACTGGGGGAGGGTCCAACAAATACCCTCCAACAACATGGAACCTGGAAGACAAATGGCTTGCGGTCAAAAGGGGACATTTCCCTGGTGGGTTTCATGGCAACATGGACCAGAGGGTAATGGTAATGGGTAATGTAAACAGTTGGGCACCTGGTCGCACATGCCCACCTCTGCGTGTCAGATGCTGACTCGTGCATGCACAAAACGTCGCAAGACTCGCATCCAAAAGGGAAATCGTGGCGCACTTGTCTGCCCCAATAAGCCTGCGAAGCTCAGGTGCAGGCAAATGTCTTCTTAATCATGCAAGCGTGAAACGGTGGCTCATTCTTCGCACTAGAGTCCAACCAACAAACATAAATCAACGATTCTGTCGGATCCACGTCACTAAATGCGTGCCTGCCTCATGCCGCAGGCTTGCTGTGGCAGGTGTTTTCCTGCCCTCTAGAAATTGGCCAGAGAAGAATGACTCACACGGGCATTGACACAAAGCTAGTACAATCCTCAGGCTTGGACACAACCCAACCTTTCAGCAAAATATACATTTGGAAGTCTGGTAGCATACAAGTAGCCCGAACAAAAAATCATACCGAGAAAAGATTCAGTCAATGCAAGACTTCATTCGATGAGTACGGACTTGTTTGTTCCAAAGTCATGTGTGTGTGTGTGTATGCTGGTAAGGCTCCTGTCCAGTAGTGTCTTTGTCTTGCTATCTCTCTCTCTCTCTCTCTCTCTCCTGTTTGGACTGTCGCCAGGACCTGACTGGCTGGCAGCTCATCCTGTATGCTAGCCAGACCGCTCTTCCTAGGTGTACTTAGTCTTCCTGCGGTTGTATAACACCGTCTGTGCTTGAAGGCAGGCACCTGGCACGTGCAAAAGTGTTACTCAGCGCTTAGCGCGGGTACTTTCTCTCGCCTGACCCAGAGGTGCCTTGCTACAGCTTTGGCTTCGGCCCCTGGATTGTCATCTTGAAACCATGGATCTCGATCTGCACAGGGATCCATCGAAATCGCGTCAAACACGAATCATTTGATGAACAGCGCAAACCGAGTTACTTCAGCTTGTTCAAACATACTATTAATGTCTCCTTGTTCCGCCCACGATTCTACTCGCAAGGCGATGGCAATGCTGTGCATGAACCTATCCTTTTCTCCCGCATTGCTGGCAAGGAGCAGGGCGCTTGTAGAGCGAGTTGTTGGGCACAACCATCTGGTAGTTGCCATTGGCATCCGCCTCCATCAGCACCTGAACGTGGAGAAGGCAAGAAACTGAAACTTAAGCATTGTAAACATAGGTGTCCTTTTATGGGAAATAGATGGGTTTCCCTGGTAGATGATTAAACCACCAGGGAAACCAGGAATCGGCATCTATTTTTCTACCGAACACTACTCCCGAGCCAACTGGATGGCGCAGGTCTTTCCAAGAGCGGCTTCCCTGGGGTGACTTGTCGGTGCGGTGTGTATTCTCTCACACAAATCGCTGTGGTCTTGATTGAGCACACCAGCTAAGCCAAACCATGTGTATGACACGTGCCACAAATCCTTGAAGGCTCCATCCGGGCTCGACCATCCGCTCCCCAAACCAAAACCGGAGCTCTATGAAGCAGTTTGCAAAAGCGGTTTGACTCATAGGATCATTGGCTCCTTCAAAAAGTCGGTCGAAATCTCTGGCAACTCCCCCCACCTACAAATTAATTCTCCTGGCGAACTTCACTTGGTGGTTTTCCCCTGGCTCGATTTCACTAAGTTGTCGTCGCTGCACGCCGTTGGCAATGCGCAGCTGGATGAGGCGGAAGGCCAGCAGGCGGCTGTCTACCTCGGTTCCGGTGGTCTCATGGAGCCGAGCTGGAGCTTTGTTTCAGGTTTTTCCCCAACAGCTGAAAGCTTTGGGGTCGATAGGCCCAAATAGGCTCCGGGGTGGTCCGGGGCGGCCCTGAGGTAAGGTTCCGCCAGGGTTCCGCAGTTCCACCAGGGTTCCACGAGGTTCTGCGAGGGCTGCGGGGTTTTGCGAGCACTGAAAAGAGCACCGCATGCTGTTGGGGATATCACCTGAGCTTATTTTGGGACCCTTTGACAAGGAAAACAAAAGAAACTCGGATCCCCTAGTTTTGAGAAACAGCATATTATATGGCTGTGACATTTCACTTTCAAGGGTCCAAACCCGAAGTTTCAGAAACACCATTATACCCAAAATGGTCTTCCTGGTAAATGGAAAAGGACTAAAACCTGCGGTCCAATTCTTGGTGGTTTAAATTTGGCCCATACCTATAATATAACTACTGGGTACTTCATGTAAGAAGCATGTTTGTACGTTAGCTCACTATGGCTTTATTAAGACATTCACGAAGCGAGTTGCATGTTTCTTGCATTCGGATGCATTTGGCATTTCCATCGCTCCTGTCACAAGTCGGGAGCTCATGTTCTCTCAAACATACACATCTGCCCCCTCCCCAAAACATAAAACGAAACTGCCTTCCATTGGGGTTCCGTTAATTGGTGGCTTGGAGCCCGGTTTGGTGGTTAAGGAGGGCTTTCCCATTTACCCTCTACAAGAACCAGGCGTTCAAATCCGAATCCAAATCAATCCAAACCACAAAGGGGATGCCTGAAGAAAGCTTCCCTGAACAGAACAACTCGCTTTTGCGCAGTAAATGTGGTGTTTTGGGGATTCCCGAATCAAGGAAACCAACAGTTGGATGGTTTATAGTTGGGTTGTGGGAATGAACTGTAAGGGGATTCCCTTGACGGAAACCACCAGTTGGATGGTGTTTCTAGGGGTCGAATCTCCATGTCTCATTCTCTGCTCGAAGAGAAAAGCGCGCACCTCTACGGGATTGATTCCCCATTCTTTTCAACCATCGTTCTTTTCAAAAACCGGCTGTTTCCCCTGGGTTTTCGATGGTTAATGAACAGAAAGATCCCTGGAAAGAATGGGGAAGGTACCCCTAGAACACCGATGCGTTTTGCGGCATGGCGCGTTGGTGAAGTCAGGGCCCTTGAAGTCCACGTAATCCACTTCGATACGGCCACCACCGCCCGGCTCATCGCCTCAACAAAAAGCCAGAAACCAGACGCAGGAATATGGGGGGGGTGGTTCTTGTCTTGAGAAGACCCCCGTTTTGTTTTCGATATTAAAGAGAATGATGTTCTAGATATATATATATATATATATTTCTTTGGGGGGGGGAGGTTCCAAAACAAACACCCCCACTCCATAGGGGCCGCCAAATCCATAATAGGGGCGAATTTGTGTGACTAGCAAGGCCTAATAGTGCTCCTAGTGGTCCTAGTGACTCTTTGGGGGGCTGACAACCATGGGATACCTCGCGGGGCTGGGCCTCCATACTGTGGATGGACGACATCCATTTCGCACCACCTCAGCAACTATGAGACACCATTGCTTGTTGGTATTTACGTTGGGGAATCAACAGAAACCAGGGTTTCTGAACGGTGCGAAACGCGGAGTTCGTCCATCAGCATCTCCCCGTTGGCATCGTCGGGAACATTTTTCACTTCGCTTCCGGCAGCTCGCGTTCATTGAGTCAGCAACAGAACCTGCGCCGGCCACTTGCGTCAACGCAAGTTGTTCCTAACCTTGCGAAAGTGTGACTGCCATTTGACCTTATGGACGAGTTGCTCCAGCAAGTTGTGGCCATAGGACAAGAATTTATGCAGAGAGAGAGAGAGAGAGCGGGAGAGGATGAAAGAGACATGCTGATTAGACAAGAGTTCATCCCCCTTTGCAAGTCGTCTAAGTACGTGAGATCACATCCAACATGAGCCAACATCCAAAATCAGACTGAAGAGGTCCGGACTTTGGACACGAGTACCGTCGCTCATACACACACACACTTAAACTCCAGATGGAGAGTGCTAATCTTTCGAGTACAACTGATGAGTCTCGAGTACAACTGATGAGTCTCGAGTGGGTGGGGTTCGGCTCGCAATGCACTCGGTTTCACTCTAGTGTCGAAAACGTTACCAGTTCCAACATGAAGCACACACAGCGAGCGAAAGGAGAGGGCCAAATAGACTTTCAGAATCACGCAAATGTTGCAGGTACACAGCACGGCGTCCCGTGTTGCTTCACGACAACTCTGGACGGTCTTCGTTGGGCAACGCGACCCAGAGTGTCCGTTGCCCCCCTGCTGCAACAGAAAACGGTTGTGGTGGCAGGGTTTTCTGCCACTCCGCACACACACGCCCCTCTACGAGGGGCGAGGTTTCTCTTTTCTCCTGCAGGAAGATCACATGCTCAAACTCAAATCTCTATCGTTGACCAAAATATCCTCCACGGCGAGGGGAGCGAGACACTGCCCTAAACCGCTCAGAAGACGGGAACGAAAGATCACAACGTTGAGCATTGCGAGTGTCGCCATAGAGGACTGAAGCGATCTGCGAAGCAGCCGGGCGATCACCATGAGAAAACGGAGTGGCATAGGTGAAGGTCTCCTCAACTTGAACGGCATCGGAGTTTCGACCTTGACCAAGAGTCTGATCATGTGAATAGTGAGTTGCGAAGGACTCAATCCGAGACAGAATGCGCTGGTACCCTTGGTGTTGCCAGTCACGGATGTCCCATGCCTGGACTGGCGCATCGGGATCCGTCACCCGCTGCCATTCACGAAAAGAATTTTCAGGTAGATCAGGTACGGCGTCACCACGGTGCCATCGTTGAGGTTGTCCCGGAGTGTATATCCGCACCCACTCCTGATCATGCCAGACCGAATATTCGAGCCATGGATACTGCTTGGACTCATCGATGTCCATGTTGAGGCAAGAGGCAAGGATGGTCGCGGGCTCCGATCCAGCTAGTAGATGAACAAGCACCATGCACAACCATGTTCAAACAACAGCAAAGCAAGATCATGCAAGTGTAGAGGCCACCCTTATTTTGTACGCTGCGCTGCTCATGCAAGTCTAGTCTTCAGTCAGCTCGAAGACGGGCCTCATCTTGTCTTGGCCGCTGTCGGACGGATTCACGGGCCTGTAGGGGTCGGAGACCCCAATCGTCTCCGATGGTGTGTTTCCACGCGATGCACGTACTGGTTGATGAGGATGGGAGGCCAGACGTGCGCGGGCCGTCAGTTGTTGAGAAATCCCCTCCTGGAGACGAGTCAGTTCTTCAGTGGAGAAATCAGCCGCATCCGAGGACCTGAGAATCGCGTCTAACAGCTCCGGCGACATACTCAATGCCGCAGACTGCGTGGCCACGCTGTGGTGATCGGAGGGATACATGGAATCAAATTCATGACCAGCGTGAGGGGCAGCGATTCTCCGATAGCCCTCTGTGGCCCAGTCTCGTTTGTACCACGTAGTGACTTGGACTTGCCCTTCGACTGAGTCCTGGTTGGGAGCATAGAACTCCCGCCATTCTCTAAAAGTATGCGGAGGAGGTGGAGCATCATGTTCTTCTTGAGGCGTCCATGGTCCCGGATGAAAGATCTTGACCCACTGGGCATCTGGTTGTTGAGGGTCCGGGCACCATTCCAGCCACGCCATGACAACGCAACCACGGAAAGACAAGTTGATAGGTGTACGGCTGCAGACAACAACGAGTGAAAGCAAATCAACTATCAAAATGCAAAAGACCACTTTTATAGCACTGTGCGGCGCCAACATCAAAGTCAGACTCTCCAGGGAGGCGAGGACGGGCATCAGCTATCATGTGAATTAGATGATGCCGAGGAGGAGGTCATTCCAGCATACATGAGGTCCGGTGCACCCGAAGCGAAAACTGGCCTCGCTATGCTGGGATGTGGACGACCCAGGCGTTGGTACCCCCTGGTGACCCAGTCCCTGTAATACCAAGTGTAGAAGGTGGCGTAGGATACCGGTTGCAGAACCGTGCCTATAGTTGTGCCGCCCGTGCTTTCCCTGGGCCAGTACACTTCGAAGTGGTAGACCTTGCGCCATTCCCGATAGGCGGTCGGGTCATCCGGGGCCGGTCCCAGGGTGTCAGGGGCTACTGGATGCCACTGACCCGGTACATAGATTCGAATCCATTCCACCCTCGTTCCTGCTGGCCCATTGACGATGTCATAGTCAAAATAGCGAGGTAGGACCCGACCCATCGTGCTGCACCCTGCACCGTACTATTGAACATTTCAACCCGACAAGCTGCTCAAAGTTATCACGGAAAGCGGCGGACACATAGAGACAACATGCACAGCACCAAGCAAGACAACCCAATGAGAACTCACATACAAAGCAAGCACAACCGCATCTTTATCCAACATGCTACTCAAGTGTCAATCCGAATCATTCCAAGGATCATGGAATGGCGGCGGTGACGGTTCCCGCCACGCCCCATCCGGTACCGACGAGCCCACCGAGGACTCGATGTCTGCATTGGCGAGCATCGCGAGTCCGATGGATTGGACAGGAGGTCCAAGTCGTTGGTACCCTCGCGTTTGCCAGTCTCGGTACTCCCACACGTGATAGGACACATAGGAACTGGGCGTGGCTATAGGATCCATTGTGGTGCCTCCGGTGCTGTCTTCAGACCAGTACACTTGGAAGTGATATGATCTGCGCCACTCCCGAAACGTGGAAGCGTAAAGTGGGTCCGGAACTGGCGCCTCCTCAGGAACGGGCCTCCAAATGCCCGGAGAGTAAATTCGAATCCATTCCACTCCTCTATCGATCTGGTACTCGAAATACTGGGGGTTCATAGCAGCAATACGGGCTTGCACGACTGCTAAACCAATCGAAAGTCTGCGGCAAGGACACACATGCATTGCCAACCGCACACATCCACTGAGGAGCGAGGCAACTTTTCAAACACAAGGTGAAACGGATCAACGAGGTCTGAAATGTCTGACACCTGGCTTTCACTGTCTTTGATGTCGCGCACACCTGCAATGATAGTGACCTGGTCGTCTACGAGCACAAGGGGAAAGACATTTCCGTCCATGGCGCAGGATGGCGTGACAGTAATGCTTGCATGTTGCCGATGGGGATTGCGATGGACGGCCAGCACGTTTGGAATAAAACACTGTAAAGGGCCGTCGAGATCGCCGCGGCGCTGAAGCTGATGCTGTCCGAGATCGTTTGGACGAGCGCCCTGGACTGCGTGGTACTTCATCACGGGAAGGGTCAGTGCTGTAGATCGAGCGGCGTGTGCGCTGCGATTTCGAAGAGGTAGGGCAGGATTGTCCGCGAGGGGCTGAGATCGAGGGGCTGCGTACCGAGGGCATAAACTGTGGGTGTAGAATCACCGGTGGTGGTGGTGGTGGTGGAGGAGGAGGTGGAAGAAGCAATGGCAGACTTGGCGGGGGCGGAGGCGACGTAGTCAGCCGAATGGGTCTGTCGAGTAGAGCCCCGGGTCCATGAAATTGTAACCACGTCGGCTGCGCTCCATGGGTCCAGGTAATGTACGTCTGTACAACTTGTTCTGACATGATTTGAGCAACTCAGGCAAGACATCACTGCATGTCAACGACATCTCACAACACGACAAGCAAGATTGAGTCACGTGCAAGCAAGCAAATATCATGTGATCAACAACTCGAACCGGACACACCGCCGCCGCTTATCATTTGGTCCATCAATGGTCGCTGCTGCATTTGCCGGGCATGTTAATAGCCGCGAGCCTCAAGTTGTTGATAGACCTTCCATGCCTGCTTGACTTCCTCAATCGGCTTCTGAAGAAACCGCGCAATGGTCTTATAGGTGGGCCTGGAATCCTTATCTTTCTTCCGTCTCACCATTTCATCCAGCTCGCCCTGTGTCCATGCCGTGAAAGGTTCACGGTATGCATTGCGAAGTGCAATGGTAAATTCTTGTAGAAGTTCACGAGGACCATGAACCACCGTCGGCGACGGCCGGAACGACGAGGCACCTGGATGCGGATGTGCCGAACCATCAGAATCCGAATCAGGCGTCGTGGGCGTCGTCTGTCCTGGCTCTCGTCCACCGTGTGCCGCGAAAGGAGCAAGGGGACGAGGCGGTGGCAGTCGATCCAACACCGATTCGGGCCGAGTACCAGGGTTGTGATCACTAGCATCACGATGAGCGGCTCGAGGCGGGGACAAAGCCGGTATGTA